GCTATTAGGTTGGAGGGCATCGCTATTAGGTTGGAGGCCATTGCTATTAGGTTGGAGGCCATCGCTCTGAGGTTGCAGGCCATTGCTATCAGGTTGGAGGCCATGGCTATTAGGTTGGAGGCCATTGCTATCAGGTTGGAGGCCATTGCTATTAGGTTGGAGGCCTATTTGGCTGGAGGCCATGGCTATTTGGTTGGAGGCCATCGCTTTTAGGTTGGAGGCCATCGCAAAAAGGTTTGAGGCCATCACTATTAGGTTGGAAGCCATTGCTATGCCTCGGCTATTAGGTTGGAATCCATCGCTATTAGGTTGGAGGCCATTGCTATTAGGTTTGTTTCATTGCTGAATTGACCTGAGCTGTGCAGTGCACGCAGTAGGATTCCAGTGTTTCCAGTCAACTAAGGTTTGGAAGCCAAAGGACTTGACTAGCCAGGTCGAGGAGACTGGATTCAGTAGAGTGCTTTACGGGTGTCCTTTACCTTCGAAGCATCATTATCACTTGCAAGGGGGCCGATTTTGCTTATCGAAATTCACCAAAACTGTGGTCAAAGAAGATGAACCCCCAGAGTCATTCCTCTCTACAGGAAACCCATGGTCAATGTCAAACGCGTTGCCTCGCCCTGCAAGATCCACTGAGGCGCTATGGGGCTCGCGGGGCTCGGGCCTCTGCTGATCTCTATGCCTCTTTTGAGGCCCGGAAATGCAGAACAGCTGCAGCTGGGCATCTTCGCTATGTTTCGCGCGCGCTCGGAACCTCGTGTGAGATGTTTTTTTTTTCACGTTTCCCAGATCTGGGGTTTGTTTGACCAAGAAACTCCCAGGAAAAGCTAATGTATGCAGGACATGTGGGATGTTCATCCAGATCTTGCAGTCAAATACCAACGGATATTTTTTGATATTTTTTGTGGAATTACAAACTTCAGAGGTTCCACCATCCCTACTCAAGAGGGTGTATTTGTGTGTGTGTGTCAGACTCAATATAGAAACCAAGTTTGGGATCAACAAAGAAACTCAATGTAGAAGACCCAATATACAAACCAAATTCGATTTTTTGACACTGTATACTGTAATTTGTTCTTCTTTGGAGGCCATTGGGGTCAATCGATTGGCTCCGGTTTCATGTTTTGGGTTCAATGGAGGTGATCCATTCCCCGACGCCCATGAGTTAGAATGTTGTCCATCGCACTGTTTTTGTGATAATTATTGCAGCTTAAAATCCAAGCAAGCAATAATAGTTTGGTTGAAAAAGGTGAAATGAACCAGAGTGGCAGCATGTCCACCTGCACGTCATTCGTGGAAACCGAAGCAGGAAGAGCGATCGCCGGCCAAAGGGTTTGGCAGCCCCAGAGGTTACAGAGTTACAGACGTCATTGTTAGGTTGTGTTTGCTTTCCTGTGCCAACTTCTAGCTATCCTAAAACATGCGAGAATCCAGAACTATATACTTGTGGACCTGGATTCCACATGGGGATCTGACGTATTTCTTCCTGCTTCCACCTGAAACTGCGAAGCGACTGCGGAAGCCGCCACACGCAAGATGTGCACGCAATTCTTGTCTTTCAAAGAGTGCCAAGTACGTTCACATGTGCTGGACTGGCTGTGAGGGGGGGTTGGTTTGGATGGTCAGTTTCTTCCCTTCATCGGGAGCATGACGACGGCACTTGTACTGTCCGGACCCGAATTTAGCATTTGGGGTCAATCCTGCTACGTTTAGCAACAGTTGGGAAGAGTTGATTCATATTGTGGCAAAGTCAACTGCTGCTCTGCTGCTGCTGCTACTACTGCTACTACTCCTACTCCTACTCCTACTCCTACTCCTACT